TGCTTGGGGCACTTCACCCACGCTCTCCAGGAGAGCCGCTGGTGACGACTAAAACAGAAGGTGCTCACACATGATGTCTCGTCCTTGATGTCAGGCTCGGGAAATTTGTTTTTGGCGCCCATGCTGTTCACTGGAGCGACGCACTTGAGGGGCTCAGATCGGGTCGCGTCCACTTTCCGTCTGGCCGTCCTCCCGTTCTTCCTTGTCCCGCACGTGTTTTTCAAGCTCCCACAGGCTGGGCGGGCACTGGTTTCGTCATTTACATTTCAGCCATCCCTCAGGGCCGCACGGAGGGGGTATTCTCTTTCGCTGGCCTCGGGCGTTTGCTGGTTGCAATGGCGCTCAGTTCCCATCATCTACAATGCTGCTATCTCCTAATGCCGCGTGGGGAGGGTACGGGCGGCGACCTATTTGTTCAGCGTTGCTGGGACTGGGCCTCTTATTGTTATCTTTGTCACGCGGTGCTGCGAATGGTGGTCAATTATTGCAAGGGCTGGAGGCTTTTTCCTTGAATGCAATGAGGCTGTTTTCGGTGTGAACGATCCGTCAGGGTTGCCCGATGACCAGTTTACTGTAGTGGGCCGTATCGAGTTTGCTTCGGTTCAGCTTATTTGTATCAAGGTGGCTTTTGGCATTCTTTCAACTTCCTCTGTATTTGTCTGGTGTTGAAGGGGTGAACTGACATTCTTTGTTTGGGAGGAACCCATCCGCGGGCTTATGGTTCCACGGGCTTCTCTGCCAGCTTTTCAGAAGAAGTGCGTCCTCTTCCTGTCCGTCGTGCTCTTCGACAAGTCCAGGGGGGGCGTCTGTTTCGATCTTCGCTTCGCGACTGTTCTCACTCACTCACTCCTCCTCCGTTTCCCTATCCCTCTCCCTCCTCCTCCTTCTCCTCCATCTTCCGCCCCCTCCTCCTCCTTCTCTTCCTCCTTTTCCTCCTCTTTTTCCTCTTCCTCCTCCTCCTCTTCCTCCTCCTCCTCCTCCTGCCTCCTCCTTAGGCCCCCTGCCTTCTCCTTGGGCCTCCGGGAGCCTCTTGGGGCCTCCTGGAGCCTTCTGGGCCTCTCAGGACCTCCTGGGGCCTCCTAGGGCATTCCTGCTGCTCCTCCTCCTCCTCCTCCTCCTCCTCGAGGCATGGCTGGCACGGACAAGATGTGGAGCAGGTGCGGACACTGTCAGACCTGCGAGTGGAACAATGTACTCCGCCGCCGTCACTTAGCTTGCAGCAAGTGCGGCAACACCGTGGAGTTGTACAATGGCAAGAAGCGTGGGGTGCACTTCGCAGCTGTCGAGAGCGACGAGGACCGCTTCTATGACGCGACCAGCGACAGTGATGCAGATGACACCAGGGCCCGCAGGCCCCTCCCCCCTGGCATCCTGAAGAAGGGCAACACCGGTGGGGGCAAGGGCGGCAAGGGCACGTCCATCCGAGGCTTGTTGAAGCAGGCTGCGGCGGCGGCCAAGGAGGACGGCGATGAGGAGCTGATGCGCCACCTCGACAACCAGATCGAGAGGCTGGAGAAGTCGGAGCTGGGGGCCAAGGCGCTGCAGGTGTCCCCAGCGGAGGCCCATCGACGGGCGGACGGGGTGTGGCGCAACGCGGAGCACGTGCATGAGCAGGCGGTCGCCAACGTCGTCCGCCTCCGCAGCAACCTGGCGGCTGCGGAGGCGAAGGAGCAGGTGGCGGCACGTGCGCTGGCCGAGGCGGCAGACGCCAAGAAGGCCGCAGCCACAGCCCTTGCGAGGGCAGAGGGCGTGCAGCCGCAGGGCACTGGTGCGCACGACGAGCACGAGAGGAAGATGATCAACGTGGAGTGGGACGAGAGCTTCTTCTCCAGCCTCGACGAACTCGGGGCGACGGAGGCGGAGAAGAAGGCCTTGGAGGAGCTGAGAGCCCAGATGCAGAAGGTCAAGACCCACTTGGAGGGGAAGGAGGCCGAGATTCAGGCGTGGCTCGCCCAGATGGACCAGCACAAGAAGGCCATCTCCGAGAGGCTTGCCAAGAAGCGGAAGTCCGACGACGGCACCGCGACGCAGGCCCAGGCCCCAGAGGCCGCGGGAGGGACTGTGGGAGCCCCCAGCGGCGACCCGCAGGCCGCCGCCGCAGCTCCTGGGCCTGCGCCCCCCAGGAGCAGCGGCGACCCCGCGGCCCAGGCCAAGGCCGAGGCGGCGCGTGAGGCGGCCATCAAGGCTGAGGCGGACAGGTTGTCGGAGGCAAAGTTCAAGGCCGCAGAGCTGAAGAGCAAGGCTGCGGGCAAGGGGACGGCTGCTACGGCGACGGCGGCACCAGCTGCTGGCGCGGGCGCTGCCCAGTGACAGGCAGGAACAGGGACCCCTCAGACCTTGACTGAGGGGCCGTCGGACGACGGCAGCAGAAGGGACACCACGATCTTCTTCGCCAACGTCACCAGTCTGACGGATAAAGCATGGAAATTCATCACGGCCAAACCAACAGCGTTTGACCATTGGGCTATAGTCGAATCGCATATCCACATGGGCACGGAGCTCAACAAGTTAGCTAGGGACGCGAAGAAATACAATCTTCGCACAGCAGTCAACCCTGCCCGACGTTCGCAGCGGCCAGTTTCACTTTCCAAAGAGCCGAAGGCCAACGAGGGTGGCGAGGTCTGGTTTAGTCAGCAGCATCTGGAGTGCAGTATCCTGGCCGAGGCTCGCACAGCTGCGAAGCATCTACGGGCGCCAGGGTCCAGTGCACTCGACGGTTTCCTGCCCTTGTTACTTCAGCAGCAGGGCTACGCCATCGTGGTTATCGTGCTGTACGCGTTCCCGTGTATTGGAATGTCAGGTCGCAATTGTGAAAGGTTTCGCAAGCTGGGGGGCCTCTTGACTTCAATACGTATGCCATGGGTGTGCATCGGGGACTACAACATGTCACCAGAGACGTTGGCAAAGTCCAAATTCCTGGAGCGCGTGGGGGGCGCCATCATTCGAACGGCTGAAGTCACGGGCACCTGCGCCAAAAAGAACGGGGAAGACAGCATGCTTGATTACCTTGTAATGAGCCAATCAGCTGTTCCATTCGTGAAGGAGGTGAATCCAATTCGGGATGTGGCTTGGAGGCCCCACATAGGCTTGGCTATCACCTTGCGAGCTTCGGGTCAGCAGCTGCAGACTCGAGAGCTCGAGTTGCCGTGCCGTCTCCCTCAGCCCCCGAGGCCTCGAGTGGAACCAACAGAAGGGTCCAAGTCGAGCACCGCACGGGCTAAGCTTATCGCTGCACGGCTCTCGGCGCACGAGAAGAGGGCCGAGTTTTTTGAAAAGCACTTCGGGGACTGCCTCCAGGATCATGGAGCCCAGGACCTTGCTGGCCAGCAGCCTCCGCGGGAGTTTGATGAGGACATGGATCCCGAGTTTTTGTTTCACACTGAGTATGCGGAGGACCCATGGGCCAACGAGCTCAACTTCTGTAGTGATGCGCAATTGCCGAGTACCCTTGAGCCTCTGAGAGAGCCCTCGGGTAAGACCCCTCAGGAGCCTCAGCAGGCGGGGGAAAAAGGCATAGATCCGAGTCGAGTAGTCAGTAATTCGGATGTGTGTGAAGCCCAGCCCCCCCGTCCCTCGGAACCCCAGTGTAGTCAGCAGCAGCAAGCCACCAGTATGAACCCTGGGGCCAAACCTGAGCCCACGTTTGAAGTCCCCGTTGAGACGTGGATTGAGAGTAGGAGCCAGGTCGGGTTTCAACCAGGAGCCTCAGTGGTGGCCGCGACCTCTCCCCACCTTTCCTCCTCCGTAGCCTTTTCGCTCGAACCTCAGCATAGCACACTTGTCTCTGGCATGTACGCTGGCTGGGCGTCCGCAGTGGAACGGGCCATCCATCTGCATCATGATATTCAGGTCAGCCCTGGGGTGCCACGGTCGGAGGGCCCCAGGTTCGTCGAACGCCCGCTGCGGACGACGGCGCACACACGCCACCTGCCGCTCAGGGACCAACGTAGCCAGTGGTGGACGAGGGTGCACACAGTACTCAGTAGTGTATCGCGCCACCGTTCACGTCAAAATGGGAAGAGGCAGCTCGACGAGTATGCCAAGATATGCGGACAGCTGTGTGACTCACGGCCGCCCAACGTACATACGATCATCAACCCAGGTAAGGAGCCGCCAATGGATGAGTGGACTACCCTCCTCAAGTGTCCACTGACGACGGCGGCCTCAGTCCTGGACTCGTTCGTGGACAGTTCACGGAGAATCCAAGCCCGCGCACAGCGCACAGCAGTGCGCGAGTCCTTGCACGACTTCAAGCAGTGGGTTACGGACGACCCCAGTGCGAATGGCATTCTTCACAAAGCCCTGAAGCAACAGCCGACGCCACCACCTGACCTCGAGGTTGAAGGCAAGGTGCTGATCCACCCGGCCCAGATCCTGGATCAGAAAGCGGTGGCTTTTAGGAAGCTGTGGGCCCCGAGGCCTCCTGACCTTGGGGAAGTGCGCGAGATCTTTCGTCTCATTCGTGAGGAAGCCAAGTGGGATTCTTTGCCAGATATCACGGTCGAACAGGTTTATCGGAGCACGAGGTCTATGAAGGCCAAAGCGGGACTGGGAGTTGACATGATGAGCCCAATTGATTTTCAAAGATTGCCTAGACCAGCCATTCAAGAGCTGGTGTTGTTGCTGCACAGTATCGAACACGTTCTGGCGTGGCCTGTACAGACACTCTTGGTGGTGGGGCATCTCACACCGAAGAAGTCAAGCGGAGATAGAGCCATCGGGATCACGCCCATGCTCGCCAGGGTGTGGTCCCACATCCGCGAGCCACTTGTTCGGCAGTGGTCTGCGGACGAAGCCCAGGCGTGGGACGCTGCTGTGGCGGGCAACTCATGCCTCAAGGAGGCTTACCTCAGAGCGGTGGACGAGGAGCTGGCGAGCACGATGGGGCTGCAGTTCGGTCATGGGCTGCTGGACGTCCAGGAGTTCTACGACACGATCCCCTGGATGCCGCTGGCCAAGGCCGCTCTGCGGCTGCATTTCCCTCCTATCATACTATACCTTGAGCTGGTCATGTGCGTTGCCGCGAGAACCCTCTCACTCGAGGGGGCTGTGTCGTCTCCGTTTGAACCGTGTCAAAGTATTGTGCAGGGGTTGAGGTCAGGCACTCGGTTTGCCAAAATACTGACTCACTTTGTCATGAAGGCGGTGACGACAGCGACGCCGATGATGGCCCACAGGGTTTGGATTGACGATATCTCGATAAAGACAACAGGTTCTCGCCAGGCTATCAGGACCAACCTCATCAAGGGTGTGGTCAAGACGGGGCAGGAGCTCAGCAGAGTGGGACTCAAGATCGCCAAGAAGTCAGTCATCATGTGCACCACCATGCAGGATGCACACATTGTCGCCAAAGCTATTAAATTGAAAGGGTTCACGGTGAAAGTTGTTCGGCAGGCTGCATACTTGGGAATAGACTTCTCATGTGGACGTGGAGGCCGAGCCACTCGCAATCAGAGGCAAGCTAAACACAAGCGCATGAATGGTCAAATTGTTCGGTATTGTCGTGTTGGGAAAAGATATCAGCAGTTATCCAGGCTAGAAAAGAACGGAGGCCAACCTGCAGGCACCTACGGCTTCCAAATCCACGGGATCTTCGGAGAGCAGTTGAAAAGGTGCAGACGGAGGCTAGGGCAGACATGTGGAAGTGGAGTTCGCGGTCGATGCTTGACGACACTATTAGACCTCAGGGCACCGTCATGTGACCCAGGGGTATCATATCCAGTGCGATGTATCGATTTGTGGATGGACACCTGGCAGTCTCAGCCCGACCTGCGGAAGAGCATCAAGTACGTATGGCCAAGGATCGTGGCGGATATGCGAGTTCGACTGGCCAAGGATCAAGTCCGTATTGTTAAAGGGCCCATATCCGCTACCATCCTGACCTTGCTCAGGCTGGAGTGGGACCCAGTCAGTACGTCCGTCTGGTCATACGCGTCCCAGCACAACACGACGGAGGAGTGGCAGTTCCCAGACGAGATATTCACGGGCAACAGATGGCTGGACAACCACCGAGGTCTGCTTGCAGATGTACGGAGGTCGGCCGAACTGTTGCAATGGCGGCAAGCAGCCCGACATTATTGTGGAGGAGGCATGGAGGCAGGGGTCGACAACGAGTCCCTGCGTCTTTTACTGCATCAGGTGTCGCAACTTCCACATGGGCTGCGTTTGGCCGAGGTGCTGGTCAACATCGCCACGGGAGGATTCTGGACGAAGCAGCGGAAGGTCGATGAGCTCAAGGGATACCGAGGGAATGCTATATGCGACCGATGTCGGGAACACCCTGAGACTCCATGTCATCGAGCGTGGGGTTGCCCCAAGAACACTGGCTCCCCAGCATACATGGCCTCGGAGGAGCTGGTGCCTCAGGCTTTGACGCAGGTCGACACGGCCGAGTGTTTCTGGCTGAGAGGCCTTATTCCGTCCCAATGGTTGGAAGTACCGACGGCACCGAATGAGGCCCAGTGGGAGGTTGTCGGCCTCAACGGCCTGGCTCAGGGCATGTTCGGAGAGGGAACACCAGCGGCACCAATACAGATATACGGAGACGCCAGTGGTGGAGCCGACTCGGCCATGACGAGGCTGAGGCGTGTAGGCGTAGCGATTGTGTGCACAGAGCAGATACTTCCAGAGCTGCAGATCACGGGCGCTGTCTTTGGTCCTTTGGAAGGCGACCGCCAGGTCGTACCCAGAGGGGAGCTGATGGCCCTGTATATGGCATTGTGGACGACATCTAGATATGTGAACTACACTACCGACTGTGAGGCGGTAGCACAGGGGTGGTACGAGAAACGGTTCGCCCAGCCCGCGGGGCTCGACGCAGATTTATGGCAGAAGATCGGCGAGCTCATGCGCACCCGAGAGTTTTGTGATGTTGTGGTGTTGTGGACCAGGTCACACATGGGACCCGCTGAGATTCTGGACGGGAGAGGGATCCGCTCCCTCGTCATCGGCAACGCCCTGGCCGACGAGTTCGCAGGCTTCGCGGCGGAGAAGGCGCGTGTCCCGACTGCCATCCGCACTCGTGTGCTGTGCCATGAGCGTCGTGCGTTCCTTGTGCGAATGAGATTGGTGAGAGCAGCGATGGACAGTATGCAGGCTACTCGTGAGGCAGAGAGAGAGGAGAAGCGCAAGTCTCGTGAGGCCCCAGCAGGCCTGCCGCACCCTCCCCCTCCCCCTCCTCCGCCTGCTCCTGTTGTTGCAGCGTTGCAGTCCCGCCACAGGCTGGCCGATTGCCAGCGGAGGTGCTTGCAATGTTTCGGATCAGCATCCGCTGACACTGTTAAAGAGTTTTGGTCGTCTGAGTGTACCCCCCTGTACAATGTGAATGGGGTCATTTTCTCTCCTAGGAAGGGGGCGAGGGTACACATAGCGGGGGGCTGGGCACACAATACACACACCTTGAATGTACACGCGTCACTCCAGGTATGGTTCTGTAGTGTATGCGGGGCCATCGCCGACAAGGCGATATGCTCGCTGAAAGCCCAGTGTAAGCTTAGATTGTCCAAGCACGGTAGGGCGTACCTTGACAGGATCCACAGGGGGTTGCAGCCCAAGGTCCTGAGTCGGGCCGAGCAATCGGCTCGCTCGAGTGTTCCTTCCAGGCCAGGCTAAGCGAAACCGAACTTGCATCGCAACGGGGTCCACTCCACTCCTCCTCCTCCTCCTCCTCCTCCTCCTCCTCCTCCTCCTCATCGTCCTCTTCCCCCTCTGCCTCCTCCTCTTCCTCCTTCTCTTTCTCGTCCTGCATCCTCCTCCTCCTCCCCCTCCTTCTCCTCCTCATCCTCCTCTTCCTCGTGCGGGACGCGACCTAGAAGAAACACACGACGTGCGTCCCAGCGGCTGCGCGCCGGAGGACGACCCAGAGGAAGCGCGCGCTGGGGGACGACCGGGAGAAAGCACGTGAAGTACGGGCCCCACAGGGAGGGGGCTCCCGCCTGAGACTTCCTCGCAATTCACTCGCTGACGAGGTTCCCGCCTTACTTCCTCCATATTCAAGCGTCAGGCCCCATAGGGAGGGGGCTCCCGCCTGAGACTTCCTCGCAATTCACTCACTGACAAGGCTCCTCCTGCCTTATACTTCCTCCATATTCAGGCCGCAGGCGCCCAGAAGTGACGACGGTTACAGGAGGCCGATGACCCGCTTCGGATTCGAACGCGAAGTGCGGACCCCGTAGGGAGGGGGCTCCCGCGTGAGACTTCCTTGCAATTCACTCACAGACGAGGTTCCCGCCTCATACTTCTTCCTCCATAGCCAGGCTTCCGGAGCCCAAGAGTGACGACAGTTTTACTCCATATCCAGGCTTCAGGAGCCCAGAAGTGATAACGGTTACAGGAGGCCGATGACCCTCCTCGGATTCGAACATGAAGTGCGGGCCCCATAGGGAGGGGGGTCCCGCCAGACTCACTCACAGACGAACTTTCCGCCCGAGACGACACACAGGCGAGTGATGATCATGATGGTGATGATGATGATAATGATAATGATGATGATGATGCTGATGATGATGACGACGATTGAGACGATGATGACGCCAGTGGTGATGAGTGTGTGTGTGTGTGAGTGATTGAGTGCGTGATGGTGCGATCGCGTGTGGTGAGTGTGTGACTGATGAGGACAAGGTGAATGATTGGGTGTGCGAGGTAATGGAATGAGTTTGTATGGTGGCTGTGTGATTGATGATGATTGTGCGAATGAGTGAGTGAGTGGGTGAATGTGCGAAGGGAGACGAAGCTGAAGGTGTCATGATGATGGTGCGTGAGTGATTGAGCGAGTGAACGTGCGAAGGAAGAAAAGGAGAGGGGGTGATGTGACAGGACTGCGCGGGGTGTCCAGAAAAAAAACACGAACCCCACTTAGGATGTGGGCGAACAAAAACATGCAAGACACCGAAAACATACACGGGGAATGGACGTGCGGGCGACGGCAAGGAGATTGATGGTCGGCGGGGAGGGGCCCAGTCTCTCCAGAAAAGGTCTTCGGTGATGGCCCCCCCCCCCTTCCCTGAGCTCCGGGCTGGGAGTAGTCGTCCCTCTCCTCCTCGCCCCTTTCCTCCCCGCCCTCCTCCTCGCCCTCCCTCCTCGCCCTCCTCCTCGTGCTCCCCTCTTCGCCCTCCCTGGGGAGACAAGGGCCCAGTAACGCCTGGGCCTGGAGAAGGCTCTTTGGGCGACGAGGCGCCCCGAGGCCAGGGCGCCGGCCAACCAGGAGAGTGGCAAGTCGTGGAACCCTGGCCACCCTCAGAGGGGGGGGGGGGAGGGGGAGGGGGGAAGGCTTCTTATAAACACCCCTGCTACTCTGGAGGGCGCGAGCCTCGTCTGTAGATGCAGGGCCGGCGCCTCCTTTTAGGAACCATTCCCTCCTCCCCCTACCCTTTTGTGCGCGCCGCCAAGAGCCGACGCCCGCTCCTGCAAAGTCAGATATGGTCGTCCAGTGCAGCTTTTGGTTGATGCGTTGCAGGATTCGGGTCCCTGTCTGGATCCAGAGGGGGGGGGGTGCAGGCTTTTGGGGCCTTTGTCCCGGCTTATTCTGGGAAGGGTGACGACGACGACGACGACGACGACGACGACGACGACGACGACGACGACGACACGACGAGGATCACGTCGTACAGAGGCTTGTAGGCTATCAGAGGTGCACATCGACAGTGCTTGCACACATGCACTGGTGAACACAGGCATTGAGGCGTCGTGGTGTACACGAGCGTCGAACAAAAGCGCTGTGGTGTACACAGGTGCTGTGGTGCAAAGAGATGCTGCTGCAGAATTTGTGGCGCGCGTATGCACAGGCGTCGGGGAACCCACAGGAGTTGTGGTGTGCGCATTGGTCCCCAAAGCAAGAACATCAATACTTACACAGACATGTTTTAATACATATGCTTTGTTCGGGCCCCCTGTGTTTTTCCGGATTTGGGCCCGTCGGGGCCTTGCAAGTGTACAGAAGGTTCGTGGTGTACGTTGGCATGTGGTGTGCAGGCTGTGTGTTACACACACACACACTTGGTGTTGAAGCAGCAGCTATGGTGCACACAGGCGATGTGGTGTGCACAGGCGTTGTAGTGCACACAGGCGCTTTGGTGCACATGGTTGTTGTGGTGTACTAAGGCATAGTGATGTACACATGCGCTGTGGTGCGGTGCACACATATGTTATTGCTGCAGCAGCCATAGTGTACAAAGGCTTCGCTGTGTACACAGCCATTGCTGTGTACACAGGCACTGTTGTGTACACAGGTATTGTAGTGTACACAGACGCTGTGGTCTTAACTCGCACTGTGGTGCGCACAGACACTCTGGTGCGCACAAGCATTATTGTGCACACAGGCCCTTTGGTGTACACAGGCGATGTGGTGCACACCATCATTGTCGTGTACACAGGCACGTTGGTGTACAGAGGCACGCTTGTGTGTACAGGCATGGTTGTTCACACCTGCTCACTGGTGCACGCAAGCATTGGGATTTTCACGGGCGCTGTGATGCTCGAAAGACATTGCGGTGTACACACTTATAACTAGTGGTGTACCCCAGTCTCTCCGCGGGCATCTTGTCTCTCGCACAGGCGCTACGGCAGTTTTTCGTGGCTACTCTGAGCAAGCCCTCACGCGGTGCCGAGTATCCATCCATGTCAGATCCCCACGTGCATGTGACTCCCAGCTGCCACTGGCTATTTCTAGGCAGTCCCAGACGGCGGCGAGAAACGTGACGTGACTGGGCGGGCCAGAACAGCTGTTGTCGCGGGGGGGGAAACAGGCCCCAGAGGGTCGGCGGGGCAGAAGGGAAAAGATGCGAGGAGGACAGAACGGGGGAGGGACGAGGGAGGAAGAGGACGGAGGGGAATGAGAAGGAGAGAGGGAAGGATGTGGACGAGGAGGAGGAGGAGGCAGGATGAAGAGGGTGGGGGAGGAGTCTCGTCGAAGACGCGGACGACCCGGGCTGTCCTCGACAGCCCGCCCCGCGGCAGGCGAGCTGCTGCAGGCGCGGCGCTCGCGCGTTCCTCGGGCGGGAGTCCAAGGCCAGGGGGGGGGCTCTTCCTCCGCCCCCTCCGCCGCCGCCCGCGTCTCTCGCCGCCCTGCCTGTCCCTGTCTCTTCTGCCGCCCACCCGCGCCCGTGGGTCCTGCTGGGCTGCCGCCAGCGGCAGCTGGCGCCGAGGTCGGACCCGCCCACGGTAGCCTGATGGGGTCGGGTCGACCCCTTTCCTTGCCTTCCCCTCCTGCTGAGTGAGTTCCTCCGCCTCCTCCTCCACTCGTGCGTCGTGATTGCGGCCTGCCTCGTCGATGGCTGCAGCCCTCGAAACCCGCCCCTTCTCCCCAGCAGCGCTGCGCATCGCTGGGCGAGGCGGGAGCTGCAAGCGCAAAGCGCGCAACAGCTAAAAAGGGGGGCGTCCCCTGAGGAGTCCTCCGCCTCCTCCTCCTCCTCCTCCTCCTCCTCCTCGGGCGCAGGGACTCTTTCAGGGGCAATGCGAGGGGGATAAGCTCACGGGGGGATGCGTCGACCTCCCATCGCCCACTCATCGCCGATAAGGGCCCGATGGCCCACCCCGCTCGGGAACGTCCGAATGCGCTATCGGGGGCCCATCACCAATCCATCGGTTACGCATCGCCGATTCCACCTGGTGCCTCCCGAACGCTGCTCTGCACTCTTTTTCGACAGAGGGAGGAGGCGGGGGAGGACGAGCCCAGGAGGTGGAGGAGGAGGAGGTGGAGGAGGTGGGGGGTGGAGGGCGGCAACGGGACGCGGGGCGGACTGGGAGGGGCGGCCCGGCGAGAATCCTCTGCCCCGGCCGCTGTTCTTCGCCCAGAGGAGGAGGAGGAGGAGGAGGAGGAGGAGGAGGAGGAGGAGGAGGAGGCGGAGGCGGAGCGGAGGCGGGAAGCGGAGGAGGAGGAGGAGAAGGAGGAGGAGGAGGAGGAGGAGGGAGGAGGAGGAGGAGGAGGAAGAGGAGAAGGAGGAGAGGGAAGAGGAAGGAAGAGGAGGAGGAGGAGGAGGAGGAGGACGAGGAGGAGGAGGAGGACTAGGAGGAGGAGGGGAGGAGGAGGAGGAGGAGCAGGAGGAGGAGGAGGACGAGGAGGAGAAGGAGGAGAATGAGGAGAGGGAGGAGGAGGGGGAGCAGGAGGAGGAGGAGGAGGAGGAGGAGAGGGAGGAGCAGGAGGAGGAGAAGGAGGAGGAGGAGGAGGAGGAGGATCAGGAGGAGGAGGAGGAGGAGGAGGAGGAGGAGAAGGAGGAGGATGGGGGGAGGGACGACGACGACGACGACGACGAGGTCCCAAGAGCTTATATGTTGCACTGTCGGCATCTATTCCGTTGATTGTCCCATGGTCTTTCTGTGGGTTCTCCCGCCGTCGTCCCGTTGGTTTTCAAGTGGTTATTCCGTGGGTTGTTCCGTGGTTGTCCTGTTGGTGTCTGCATTGGTTGTTCCGTGGTTGTCCCGTCATTGTCCCGTGGGAGATGCTGATCGAATTTCACATGCAATTCCAGTCGAAAAGAAATATAGATCGAAATGCAAGCCGGATGCAAATCGAATTGCACATCGACATGCCAATCAACGGACAATGCACATCGAGATGCAATTCGAAAGCCAAACCGACGGCATGGGACCTGGCATGTACATCAAAATGTGTACCTCGTTCAATGTGGCATGTAATTCGAAACACATTTGAAGCGCCTGACGAGCATCACATCAATGCCTATCGAATTTCGAAGCGGTATGCTAATAGACACAGAAATCTTAATGTTGATCTAGATGTAATCGGAACGGACCTCGAAGTTCGAGTCCGATGTCGATCGGAACGCAAGCTGGCATGCAATTCCACACGCATGCAAATCCAGTTGCAGCCGAAAAGCTGATCAACATGAGATTCGAAAAGGCAAGTCGAAGCTCAAGCTACCATGCCCAAACCTTCTTATCACCCCAAGGGTGGCCTGAGAGGTATCGTGGTCTGCCAGCCCGTCCCGAGCCACCCCCCGCGGCTATGCCAGGAAGGCGGCGTCCCTCCAAGGGACCAGCTGCACCAGCAGCTGGCCGACTCGCGCGTCCCACCAGCGGAGCCCCGGGGTCTCTGGGCGACGCACAGCTTCAGGGGGCCCATTTATCTCGCCGACGCGGAGGCTGCCCGAGCACTGTCCGCGAAACGCCGCAGGTTGCAACGACAACTACCGTGTCCCTCTTCACAGCGCCGACACCGTGGAAGCTACATGGCCTGTTCGACGGCGGCGGCCCCAAACAGGCACTGCTGCTGCGGCTGTGTCCTGCGGTGCTGGCGGTCTGGCGATGTGACCGCGGCTGCCTCGCTCGAGCTGGGCGGCCGACGGGTGAGATTCAAGAGGGTGCCATAATGCTTTCTTATGACCCATCCTCTGGTTACCGCGTGTCATAATCATAATCATCCTTCTCCGCCCTCTCTTCTCGTGCCCCTCCACCCCCACCCTTTGTTCCGCCCCTCCTCCTCTTTTTCCTCCCACTCCTGCTACTCCTCCTCCATCCCTCTGCTCCACCCCTTTGCTTGCCCTTGTTCTCCTCCTGCTCATTATTTTTCGTTTCCTCAGTTTCCCCCTCCATCTCCGCTTCGTCCTCCTCCTCCTCCATCTCCTCCTCTTCCTTCTCCTCCTCCGCCTCCTCCGCCTCCTCCTCCTCCTCCTCGGCTCCTCCTTCTTCCCGCTCCCTAGATGGGCGTTCCTCCTCCCCCTTTCCTCCTTCTGCGCCCGCGCCAGGCAGAGTCCGCGGACGCATCGGCCTGGTTCCCTGATGAGGAGCAGCCACGGCTCAGGCGGGTCCATTCATTGTTGTTTTGTCTCTATCTCCCAGTCTTTTTCCTCTCTCTCACACACACAGACTTTCATCTTCCCAGAGATCAGCCCCTCGAAGCATGCACATGTAGGGGGAGAGGAGGAGGAGGAGGAGGAGGAGGAGGAGGAGGAGGAGGAGGAGGAGGAGGAGGAGGAGGAGGAAAGGAGGAGGAGGAAAGGAGGAGGAGGAGGAGAAGCAGGAGGAGGAGAAGGAGGAGGAAGGGGGAGGAGGAGAAGGAGGAGGAGGAGGAGAAAGGAGGAGGAGGAGGCGGGGAGATAGGGGGGCAGGAGAAAGCGGGCTACCCGCCGCCCCCATTGCCCGCGGCCTGGGCACCCGCCCCGCACGGCGCCGCAGGGCCGTCACTGGGCATGCACCGCGCCCCCCGGCGCGTGGGCAGGACGCCGCGGCCCCGCTGCCGTTGCGCCGCCAGATCGTCCAGCAGACTTGCGAGCCGGTCGTCGACGCGGCCCCAGGTCTCGACCAGGGGGTCACATGCGAACAATACCCCACCCTCCCCGTCCAAAATCGCAGGGGGTAGGGGTAGGGTTCGCATGCGGCCCCCTATCGACGGCGCACGGGGTGACGGACTTGCCGACCGCGTCTGGGTACCAGTCCTCCTTGCACCGGACGCACTCTGCAGCGTCTGAATCTCCCAGCGTCGTGGCAGCCGCCAGCAGGACGTGCGCGGCCGCGGGGTGGCGCACCGTTCCGTCCAGAAGGCGCTCCAGGGCAGTTGGGTGCCCGAACGGCTCCGCATCCAGAATGGCGTCTTCAACGCATTCCCTGCCGTCTCCCGAGTGCAGTTCGACGCCTGCGATTCGACTCGGTTCGATGTCGATGGCCTCCGATTCCGATCCGATTTTCGGCTTCGGATTCCGATGTGGGGCCCCGATCTTTTCATGGGACCTGCTCGCCGGCCGATTTCCCCGATGCGGCTTCTCCAGGCTCGGCGGCCGATTGCCGCTGATCCGATTCGCTTCGATCGCAGGTCCGTCCTGTCGACTCGAGGCTGGGCTCGCCGACCCTCCCGTCCCGCCGGCGCCCTATCAGGCCGAGCTCGGGCGCTGCTTGTCCCGGCAGCGCGCGAGTACTCTGCGCCGCGGCCCGCCAGAGCCGTTCGGGTCCTCCTCTCTCGTCCTGCTGTTTCACCAGCCTCGAACTTAATCCCTATCCCTATATAAGATTGACACGCCAAAAGGCGATGACAATCTTGGGGATGCGCCCTGAAAAACTAAGGGAACCCCTAAGATTGGCATTGTGATCAGGCGATGCCCAGCTTAGGGATAGGGATATGTTCCAGGCTGGTAACTGTTGTCCTCCACCCAGACATGCGACGCTTTGATGCCTTCCATACTGTGCGGTCCCCAGGAGTCCCGACCCTTTCCCCAGGACCAGCTTTTTACCTAACAGCGAAGACTGATAGGTTTCTAGTTGACTCAAAAGAGCTCACAGATCACTCCACAGGGGGGTCCGGGCAGGTGTTGGGGAGTTGCCGGGCGGCAGGGTGCCGGGCTCGTTTTTCACCAACAGTCACACACTTCGTGCTCTTCGCCTTCCCAGAACTCCATTCCCAGGCCACATTCTGAATACCCGGATGCAACAGTCACACACAAAGTTGCTCTTCGAGATCCCAGAACGCCATTCCCGGGCCACATTCTGAATAACCGGATGCAACAGTCACACACTTCGTGCTCATCGACATCCCAGAACGCCATTCCCGGGCCACATTTAGAATAACCGGATGCAACAGTCACACACTTCGTGCTCTTCGAGTTCCCAGAATTCCATTCCCGGGCCACATTTTGGATGCCCGGAGCCAACTGTAGGCCACTTCGTGCTCTTCGAGTTCCCAGAACTCCATTCCCGGGCCACATTTTGAATGCCCGGAGCCAACTGTAGGCCACTTCGTGCTCTTCGAGTTCCCAGAACTCCATTCCCGGGCCACATTTTGAATGCCCGTAGCCAACTGTAGGCAACTTCGTGCTCTTCGACTTCCCAGAACTCCCATTCCTGGGCCACATTTTCAGCAGGGGCAAGAGCACGACGAGGAGGAGGACGAGCAAGACCAGGAGGACGAGGACGAGCAGGAGCAGGACGAGGAGGAGCAGGAGGAGCAGGAGAAGAAGGACGAGCAGGAGGAGGAGGAGGACGAGCAGGAGGAGGAGGACGACCAGGAGGAGGAGGACGACCAGGAAGAAGAGGAGGAGGAGGAGGGGAGGGGGAGGAGTACCAGGAGGAGGAGGAGGAGGAGGAGGAGGAGGAGGAAGAGGAGGAGGAGGAGGAGGAGGACGAGGACGAGGAGGAGGAGGAGGAGGGGGGGGGAGAGTACCAGGAGGAGGAGAACGAGGACCACCAGGAGGAGGAGGAGGAGGAGGAGGAGAAGGAGGAGGAGGAGGAGGAGGAGGAGGAGGAGGAGGCAGGATGAGAACACCAGAGGAGGAGGACGGAGCAGACGAGGAGGACGAGAACGAGGCGACAGAAGAGGAGGAGAGGAGGAGGAGGAGGAGGGGGGGGGAGACTACCAGGAGGAGGAGGAGGAGGAGGAGGAGGAGGAGGAGGAGGAGGAGGAGGAGGAGGAGGAAGAGGAGGAGGAGGACGAGGAGGAGGAGGAGGAGGGGGGAGGGGGAGAGCCCAGGAGGAGGAGAACGAGACCACCAGGGGAGGCGGAGGGAGGAGGAGGAGGAGGAGGAGGAGGAGGAGGAGAGAGCACCAGGAGGAGGAGGACGAGCAAGACGAGGAGGACGAGAACGAGGACGACAAGGAGGAAGAGGAGGAGGAGGAGGAGGAGGAGGAGGAAGAGCAGGAGAAAGAGGAGGAGGAGGAGGAGGCAGGCTGAGGCTGAGGCTGTGACTGCGACTGCCGTTGCCGCTGCGACTGTCATCGCGAATGCGACTACGACTGCGAGAACAGCAGAATTCTACAACTGGATTTTCATATGAATCTTAAGGGGAATGCTTTCATATATGCTTCTACATATCGCGGCCATTCCCGGGCCACATTTTGAATGCCCGAAGCCAACTGCAGGCAACTTCGTGCTCTTCGACTTCCCAGAACTCCCATTCCTGGGCCACATTTTCAGCAGGGGCAAGAGCACGACGAGGAGGAGGACGAGCACGACCAGGAGGACGAGGACGAGCAGGAGCAGGACGAGGAGCAGGAGGAGCAGGAGAAGAAGGACGAGCAGGAGGAGGAGGAGGACGAGCAGGAGGAGGAGGACGACCAGGAGGAAGGAGGACGACCAGGAGGGAGGAGGAGGAGGAGGGGAGAGGAGGAGTACCAGAGGAGGAGGAGGAGGAGGAGCGAGGAAGAGGAGGAGGAGGGGGAGGAGGAGGAGGACGAGGACGAGGACGAGGAGGAGGAGGAGGAGGGGGGGGGAGAGTACCAGGAGGAGGAGAACGAGGACCACCAGGAGGAGGAGGAGGAGGAGGAGGAGGAGGAGGAGGAGGAGGAGAGAACACCAGGAGGAGGAGGACGAGCAAGACGAGGAGGACGAGAACGAGGACGACCAGGAAGAGGAGGAGGAGGAGGAGGAGGAGGGGAGGGGGAGGACTACCAGGAGGAGGTGGAGGAGGAGGAGGAGGAGGAAGAGGAGGAGGAGGACGAGGAGGAGGAGGAGGAGGACGAGGAGGAGGAGGGGGGGGGAGAGCACCAGGAGGAAGAGAACGAGGACCACCAGGAGGAGGAGGAGGAGGAGGAGGAGGAGGAGGAGAGAGCACCAGGAGGAGGAGGACGAGCAAGACGAGGAGGACGAGAACGAGGACGAGCAGGAGGAAGAGGAGGAGCAGGAGGAAGAGGAGGAGGAGGAGGAGGAGGAGGAGGAGCAGGAGAACGAGGAGGAGGAGGAGGAGGCAGGCTGAGGCTGAGGCTGTGACTGCGACTGCCGTTGCCGCTGCGACTGTCATCGCGAATGCGACTACGACTGCGAGAACAGCAGAATTCGACACCTGGATTTTCATCTGAGTCTTAAGGGGAATGCTTTCAGATATGCTTCTACACATCGCGGAGGGCGCGATGCCGACCAGTCACACACTTCGCCCCCCCCTGCTCTTCGAGTTCCCAGAACTCCATTCCTGGGCCACATTTTGGATGCCCGGAGCCAACTCTAGTCCACTTCCTGTCTTCGAGTTCCCAGAACTCCATTCCCGGGCCACATTTTGAATAGCCAGACGCTTCATAATCCTTCCGCCACAGCCGTGTTTGGTTCAGGACTTGCTAGTGACACTGCAGTCCACTGCATTCAATCGTGCCACTGCATTCATTCACTGCAGTCCACTGAGTTTCGATTGCAATGGCGTTCCCCTGGCCGTACCCCCATGTCCAACGTTCATCCGCAGCCTCTGCTCCGCGAGGCTCGTCCGAAGTGTCGCCGCCTCGCGGTGCTTCTCAGCCTGCGCCGCCTCGCGGTGCTTCTCAGCCTGCGGAGGAAGGTGGACAGACGCCTGGTTCTGGCGCTGTGCAGCCTGCGTCTTTCACGGTCGCCTCGTTCAATTTCGGGTTCGAGCAGGGCATGATGACTGGTAAGCAGGCGGCCACTCACTGCGCTAACTTCGGAAGGGTGTGCGCCACGATAGTGGAGACCGCTGATGCTGATATGGTCTGTGGCTGCGAGGTCGGTGCGTTCCGTGAAGGCTTTCGCCGAGCAGGGATCAACGTGACAGAGATCCTCAGTAAGCCTTTCGGTGATGGCATTCGCTTCTCGGAGGTCGACAACTACTTGACTCTCTGGGGGTTCCGCGGTGCTTCTCAGCCTGCGGAACTGACTCTGTGCGAAGACAGCAAAGTTTACAGGCCTCCTAGCGGCCGAGAGATTGATGCTGTTATTTCACATTTTGAGGTGAACAAACCAGGCCATGACAAGTTCCACGTGGTGATCGCCAACATGCACATCGTGTGCGGCAAGAAACCGCCGACCATCCAGACTCGAAAGCGGACAGTTCGCCATCTCCGCTTGCACCTGGACTGCATGGCTCAGATTCTCAA